CTTTTGATTTAAATGAAGTAACAAGAGAGAATATTCTCTCAACTACAACATTGCTAACGGCATTATTAAGCAAGTAAGGGTGAAAGTGAGCAACTCTTTAAATGCCTTGTGTCGAAGTACGCCTTTCCAAAATCTTCCCTGTTTGTAGGTAGTCCATCCTTCTTAAATGTAGCTTATTCTTTCCAGTTGACAACAATCGGTTTTCTGTACTGTTCTTCTATAATACTGATGTTGTTTTCTGCCAGGTGTAAAAATGGTAGCTCTGAAAACTGTTCCTTGATGTTAGATTTAAAACTGTCAAAGGGCTCAATTTTGAAATATATTCTCAGTGGGAAGTCTACACGTAATTTGATTGAGAGCTTCTTCTAGCACAGACATGCATCTTTGTTTAACATTGTTTATTTATATCTCAGTGTCAGTCCCGTTATTCTTCTGTAGGAACGCATTACATTTCGTTAGGAATTTAATACCAAAGTCAATGTGATCAATATTTTTGTTCCGCTCATTGACATCATACAGTCTGTTCTTAAGATTTTTTTTGGTGCATGGACAATTCTTGGTTTAGTTCATAAAGATCAGCTTTTGTTTGTTGAAAAAGATTGTTCAGTCTTTCAAATTCTTGTACAATTGGTGTCGCAAACAAAGTACAAATAATTATTGTGGTCTAACAGCATTTCCTTTAACAATCTTACTTTATATTTTGTGTCAAACGTTGTCTGTGCTAATTCAGCACATATGAAATGAGCTTTCAATTCTTCCCAGTTTACCAACATATTAAACATAATCTTTCCACGCACAAGCCACCTAGTAGATGACAGTTTCTCAAATGGAAGAGGAGCAGTTCATTCTGATTCAAACTCCGTAGATGTGTTCATCACTCTAAACAGTTCTTTACAGGCTTATCGTCTTAAATCACTATGGCGAAACCAAAGAGGTATTTCTGAAAGTAAGAAACCAATATTTGATGGCAGCTTGACAATTGCACTACAAATGCAGAGTGTTAGTGAATGGCAGATACATCTGAGCTGTACACAAAAAGGAGACACATCTTTAATTCTGGACCATACAGAGTTCTTGCACCCAACCATGTTTGAAGCGCCATCTGACACAAACCCAATGCAATTTGTAAGACTTTGGCCACACCTTTTGATTTCCTTATCAATCAAATTAAATAAGTTTTCTCCTGTAGCCACTTGCAAGGAAATTAAAGCAAGAAATCCAGTAAATAATTTATTTTTCCTGTCACTGAAAAAACTTACTATAATGCACAAGTACTTTTGAGTGGAAACGTCAGTAGACTCATCTATAATGATGGCATATTTCTTGTTCCGAAAATTATCAATAAGGTCATCCTTAAGTGCAGGCGATATAATATTTTTTTTATTAAACATAAACATTTAGTTCCATGCAACTGTGTGCTCAAATGTACTCCCCTGGCCATGCGCTCTCATGATTTCACTTAAATGATCAGTTGTGCGTATTGCACAATGGCAGGTCATGCCTACAGCAAGTTGCAACTCTGCTGCTTTAACTTTATCACTACTTTGCCTAGGAGTCATTGTTGTAATAAGCTGTGACTGGCTTTTTGATGGAGTTTTCATCCTGTGTTTGTCGGATTTTTCATGATTTGAAATGCAACTAATTCTTTGTGCAACAGTGCACTGACACAGTTTACAATATGCTGCCTCTGATCCGTCTGAAGATCTTTTCAGCCATGAGTATGTTTTCTCCCAATTACTATTATACTTCCGATTGCGTCTTAAGATGCTTTCCATTTTTTGGATGACCTGGCCATTGGTAAAAGTAATAAAATCTATCACAGATAGAACTAGGTCTATATCCTATCTATTCTCTGTCCTCGAGTAGTTTATGAATAGTCTGAATCACTTGGTATCAGTGGAGGGTTTTCGTTTTATATCTCGCATTTATTCTAGTAAATTAACATAAATTACAGAGGTTTATCGCAATCACGTTAGGAAGACAACAAATACAATACGAAATGGCGCGAATCTCCGTTAGTCAGTACCAGGACATCACAACAAAGTCAAACTGAAATAACGATTTTAACTGTAGGTCTACATTGCTTTTAGTAAATTTGCGTGTTTCTAACAGAGGAAGCATGAAGAAAATGTGAGCAGATCTTGATAAGAAATGCCAAGAAAAACCCAAATATGCCAGTTCATTATGTAATGCCAGTTCAATTTCAAATATGCCAGATTTGTGGAATCTGGCATAAAAAATGGCAATATGGCAACCCTGCGCAGGCTAGGACTTTGTGTTCTCCTATGCCGTGGAGCGCGGTTCCGCCTAAATTCGCGTCTTGCCTGACGGCTTCTAACAGCGGCTCCAACATTAACACATAGAGGCTGGTATTACATACAGCCTGTCAAAAAACGACCACTTTTCCACGGAGGAAAAGATAATACGTAAGTTATGATATTGTTGTCAATGGGAACCCAAACAATAACAGAAAACCTCATGAAAAAAAAGGAACAGAAAGTTTATTGCGCATCAAATAATATTGTTAGTCAATAAACAGAAAAAATAAAAATATGTATTTGAATAATTTTAAAGTTTAAATTAAAATTTATAAAAAACAATAGTTTTGTTTAATTAATTATTAAAATCGTATTTGATAATTAGGAATGTCTAGCTAATATCAATAAGTAAATTTAAAAACAAATTGGCAGAATATTATTTCCCTTGAATAAAATTATCTAAATTATTAAGTCCCTTTGTAATTTTGGATATTTTTTTAATATCTGGACGAACAGCTATATTTAAGTTATTCATTACAGGATATCTTTGTCGACTGTCAGACATACAGATGCCTTATTATCCTACCCCAAATGTGGGAAATCTACAGGTTACGGAAGAGTAATTTAGTGTGGGGGGGGGGTATATAAGCTGCATGCAGTCGTGTGAGCTAGGTTGCATGCAGTCTTGGGACCTAGGCAGCATTATTTCGTGGGGTTAAGGCTAGTTCTAGAGGTTTTGGGGTCGTTAAAAGCATTAAAAAGCCGGGAAACCCAGTCATACCTCCCTCTAAAAAGTTGGAATGTCCTGTGACGTCATCTGGTGTAAGATATTAAAAAAGAACCGACAGACAATTATAAACTTTGATCTTTTCGTGAGGTTGACTGTACCTTTCGCACATCTATATTCCCACTTTTCTGCCCATATGTGACTTCTCACTATTCGCCTACATACATCTTTACTTATGTACCAATTCTATACATAAAGGCACCCATACAACACGCACTCTTCCTTGTGAATCCTCCCGTGATCACATCTATGCACTCATCATACTTACATTACCTCCCTTACGCTAGGATTCCGGAGTCACCACCTGACCTGTTCCTCCTGCTGTCCTGAGCTGATCTTCAACCTGGTCTTTTTATCTTTGGTTTGTTTTGATCAGATACTGTTTGAAAAGATACACAACATACTCCACTCAGTGATTTCAGTAACTGACTAAACACCAGTATACCACCTAAAGACTGTAATGGATGTTTACCCTTCAAAGGCCCAAAATATTGTCATCTTCACAGATTCAATGTCTGCCCTTTAGGCTCTGGAGGGCAGTGAACGCTGCAGAACTGACAAAGCCATGATAATTCTGGATGCTGATCAGTTTTTTACCTCATACAACATCAGAATAGTGATGCAGTGGATTCCAGGCCACTCCGGCACACCAGGTAATGAGAGAGCTGACAGACTGGCAAAGAAAGGAGCAACACAAGGTCGTAGGTTCAAATCCTAACAGAGCCGGGCGTTTTAAAAAATAATCTTGGCTTTCAGGTCGACCCAGCCTTGAGTGTGAAGTCAGGGAAGTAAAGGCGGCTGGAGTGATTCTATTTACATCACCCACCCACAGGTGCTGATTGGTCTATAAATTTTAGGTCTAGCCCTATATGCCCATAACGACTAAAGGCGCGGTAAAGGTTCCTTTTATATATCTTTATTATTACAATATGATGAGGAAATGGAAAGTTAGTTGCGTATCATTTACAGGACGTTGCAGAACCAAACATCAGAATTGTTTGGCCACATGTGATTTCATAAGGCAATTTTACTCTCAGTAGTTTGCCATTGCCGACTAAACGGTTGGTTCTGGATACCGTTGGAACCTGCCGCGAAATTGCCAGCAGCTGGAATGGAACCCGGCACTTTGGAATGACGAGGTACTAGGGAATGTCAAGTGTATTTTTGTGTCTTTTCCTTAAATATTTGAGTGCTATTTAAGACAAGTTTATCATACTTTTTAACTAGCTTCTCAGAGATTTATTTTATCATCATCATAACCACTTCTGCCATTAAGCGTCGTGGGGAGGAATAATTTGCGATCCAGTGCACGTTGGCTGCCACTGGCTGTTGTCATGCCCTGAAGGCGTAGAGTGTCTTTAATGTTGTCGATCCATGTTTTCCGCGGCCGTCCTCTTGCTCTTGTAGCTGATCTTCTGAGATGTAGTGCTTGTGATGGTATTAGATCTTGCTGCATTCTAACGAGATGGCCAAACCACTTGATCTGCTGTTTCTCGATGAATCTAGTACAAGGTGTCGTTCCCACAATTTGCCTGATAGTTTCATTATTTACTCGATCTCGTATGGTTAGGTTGGCTGCTTTTCTCAGGCACCTCATCTCGCAGGTGTTGATTTTGCGCATATGGGCTTTAGATAGTGTCCATGTTTGGCACTGGTAGCTTAATGTTGGAATGAATATGCTATTAATAATCTGTCTCTTTGCACGCATAGTTATGCTTGGATTTCTTCATAATGGTGACAATTGGTATATAAGTGCACTTGCTTTCTGATATCGATTTATTTTATGGCCCATTAAAATAATTTCAACGCTATTTCGCATTTCAGTTCTCAAAACAAAATATTAAAAAAGCGTACAGGAAGTTGTGGTTCTAATTTCGTTTAGTCGCCGGAAAATTGTTCTTTTTAGATTTTCAAGGGAATAGGAATAACTTCCTTCCTTTTTCACAAATACCGAGATGGCTGACAAGTGAGTTGGAAATGTCTTAAATTTATATCGCAATACATCTATTTATTTTGATGTTAAATTTATATCAGATACTTTCATTTGAAGTAAAATTGCAGCGTATTTTCTAATAAGATATATAATCTGTGCATATTTTATGTCCTGTGGTAATGCTATAAGTTTGAAAGAAGCGATAACATTTTTTTTTCTGCCTCTTTGTAATGTGGTCAGCCTTTCAGTATTTGAAATATGTAATTTAGTTGTGCTGTTTGAAAAAAAAAAAAGAAAGTTCTTCATTTTTATTCTTCTGTCACTGTCTAATCAGATATACTTCAGTTGTACTTAATAATTTAGGATGGAACGAAAACGTTTATCGACCCTTCTCCCATCTACTATCGGAGTTGGAGACAGGATGATTGTTATGATTGCAGAGGCCGAACTGAATCCGAAAACTTACGGTCTCATTTTGATTTCTCAAGGATTTAAGTAAAACTTTTAGTAGAATTATCGCCGGAGCTATGGAGTGCGTGCACTGAGCTTAATATTTACTTTCTTGACCAACTCGTTATTGGCTGGCTACTGAAGAAGAGGACGGAGCACATGTGGGAATGTTCCTAGTTCAGTGTCAATTCTTGCTTCATATTGATTCAATGAATTTCTTCATTTAGGCAATAGTCGTGCATTTTTCGTTCGTGCATTTAAAAAAAAAAAAGAACCCTTGTTAAAAAACAATGTTATTCTTGCTAAATTTAAACTATTTTGTAGACTAGCCATTTTAACTTTTGGTAGCAAAATAGGGTTGAATTGTAAAGAAAATAAATGTATCCCTCTATAAAGAAAAGCCATATAGTACTTCATAAGAAGTGCCAGTGAATTGCCACATGAAGCATAGTAACACTTTACTCCACCAGACATGTCGTTGGGGTTGGCTAGCTCATCCTATAAAACCACAAAACCCCCCCACCCCAAGATAAGGGAAGGCTCTTATAATAAGAAGCTGACACGGTGCAGATAAAACAATATGGAGTCTGGATCTTTGTTAATCTAATTTCATCCAGGATAGAGGGAGTTGAATGGTATGATTGAATCACCAGTGTTGAGCTAGTGGACTAAGAGGTGAAGAAAAGACTCACGTTTGGTAGGACACATGTTGAGAAAACCTGAGAACAAAATAACTAGAATGTCCCACAGGGGCATACAAGTGAAGGCAGATAAAAGACAAAAACTAAAAAGGAAGCTAGACAGTGAATTTAAAAAGATAGTGAGGTAAGCTGTATGCAACAGCGAAGGATAGACTGACTTGGCATGAGTTGGTTGTGGGCCTTTGCTCCATTAGGGGACAGAAGTACAGACATGATTGCAATGTATGGGTCAGACTTTTAACATGTGCTTATAATTGAAACCAAGATTAGCAATCCTAACCAGCCATGCTTGTCACAAAAGCCAACTAAGGAAAGTTGTGTGACGAGACTGGTAACCCTATATAAGGTTTTGACATATTGTACCAGCTGACAATGAGCACAGGTGGTCTAGCAAACTCAGACTGAAGAAAAAAAAACATCCTCTCACTTGCATGTAGATCTTGCTGTATGGCTTATGTAGCAGGGATGTATCCACACAGAAGCCATGTTTGTGACCATGAACTCCTTGCTCTTCCATCCAGGCAGGTCAAGAAAGTACCTCGAGTACCTGAGTCGATCTTGAAGAGGCGGCAGGTAGTTGCTGCTAGCAAGTCTAGGGCCCTGAAGGTAGCAGCAGCCTACAAAAAGGTAAGTTGTTGTGCCGGGCTAGCTAGGTGATCAGTGGGGTGACTTTTCACAAGGTTAAGGGATGACAGCAGTACAATCGTAGCATGCTTGGTCAGTCAAATGCCTTGATTCATCCCTATAGTAAAGACTGTCAGTAATAGATTTCTAATGCCTATCCTTTGTCCTGGATTATGCATGCTTTGTCTTGTTTTTTTTCTCTTGCATGTCTTTGTTTCCTTTAGCCCGGTTGAAAAAAAATTGTTGCATTGTTTCGTCAGCCTACTGTGTCACACTAGTTTTTTGGCCTTATAAAACAACAGTCTGGAGAGTCTGAATGTGTGACTTGTACGTTTGTGCACACAAGCCAACAAACTGAGGTCTGCCTTTTTTTAAATCACTTTTTTTTTTGCGGCAGTTGCTACATTTGGACCCTTTCTTTTAGAAACAAGCTGCCACAAAGAAAGTTTTGTTCAAGCGAGCGGAGAAATATGCCAAGGAGTACCAGGCCAAGGAGCGCAATGAGATCCGACTTGCTCGCATCGCAAAGAAGAGTGGAAACTTCTATGTCCCTGCCGAGCCTAAGTTGGCTTTCGTCATTAGGATCAGAGGGTATGTATTGTTTTTTTAGAATAGATGGTTTACTGTTTTTTTTTTCTCCCTTTTTCTGATACTAAATCAAATATTTAAGCGTTGTCTCTTTTATAGGTTGAACACGAGAATCTTAGAAAAAAAAATCAAAATTTAAAACTAGATCTAAAATAAGGTACAGACCTCTTGAAGCTATGGTGCAACACATCTCTGATCCACACAGCTGGCTTTTTCACCAGAATGTTAACTGGCCAGACGAGATCTCTGCAGCCTGTCCACCTAAGTTTTCCCCCTTGAATTTCTTGTACACATGTCTTTTGTGTCCAGTCGAAACATGTGAGGGTTAGTTTTCTGGATGATAGGTGTCAGTGGGACTTAATGGCTGCCTTGATGTGAGTTTGTTTCATAAGTAAATTCTATATCTGGTTCTGTATTGCTACTGAATTAAACATTTCACATAAATTAATATACAGTAATTTGGTACGACTTGTCACTATTACATTGTTTCCTCTTGAAGGCTATGTGCCACAGTTCTTATCTTGTTTCCTCTGTCCTGGCAGTATTAACTGTTTGAATGTACTTTGTAATCTGAGTTTAAATATCTGGGAACTACACTTACTGAAGATGGGAAATTGGATAAAGAAATTGACATTAGATGCAGTAAAGCAAACCAAGTATTGGGACAGCTAGCTCCCCCTCTTACAGCATAAGACAATCCCAATCAGCACAAAGAGACATCTTTTTCAAAGCATATTTATTCCAACTCTGTGCTACCAGTGCCAGACATGGTCACTCACAACAAACCATAAAAGAAAATTAGTAACCACGGAAATGAGATGTCTGAGAAGGGCTGTAGGAGTGACCATGAGAGATAAGATCAGGAATGAGATCATAAGAGAACAAGTCGGCACAGAACCAATTCTGGATTACATACAAAGACAGCAAGTGAAATTGTTTGCTCACATAGAGAGAATGCCTTGTGACACCATACCGTACAAAGCATACATGGAAAGAGAAGGACGTAGAGCACGGGGTAGACCAAGAACAAGATGGAACGATAACATCAGAGAAACTCTACAACAGCACGATATGCCTATGGTCAAGGCAGCCAGAAGAGCTAGAATATATCTCCCTCGACACCCACAGCGGTAAAAGAGGAAGTGAAGAAGAATGTACTTTAATTATGTGATAGTGCCTTGTATAAAGCCTGGTTTCTCTGACTACTCCACAGTATCAATGGTATCCACCCGCGGCCCAGGAAAGCTCTCCAGCTGTTCAGGTTGAGGCAGATCAACAACGGTGTCTTCGTCAGACTCAACAAGGCAACACTGAACATGCTGAAGATTGTGGAGCCATATGTCGCTTGGGGGTGAGTACACTGCTGAATATGATTTTCCTGGTATCTGTAGTAAGATCGGACGCCCATGTGTATGGGCATGTAAAATTGGAAATTAAAAAAGAATAGCCTAATGGCGCTGCCCGGGTAAAATTGTTGGAGTTGAAAATCATTTAATGACTCTCATAAATAATGGACAGCTGACTTTTGTTCCCTCTCTTTTGTCCATAGTGTACTGGAGGCCCTACTATCTTGACTTGTGTAAAAGAAGCATTCATACACCTTGAACAACCCCCCACTCGGGCGCCAGTCCTTCACTCTTCTGGTTTTACGGAACCTCATGTAAGACTCCTGCTGCACGTCCCCGTCGTGCGCCACGGATAATGTCTCAAATGAGCATTAACAGAGTTGGCAGGGGATCTCGGAGCCGGCAGCCCCTAAAGGTGTAGTGTCCTTTCTGGCTGTCATCAGCCCGCCCCCAAATGCATGGGTGAAAACAAATGTACCATCAAATGACAACTCTTGGTTAAAAGTCTGGAGCGAATGGAAAACTGCTGCTGAGACTCAACCCTGGACCGAGAGATTTACCTGCAGCCAAGACGGGTAACATCTCTTGTGGGTGAACTATCGCAGCAAGATCCTACCTACGTAATCCCCTGTCAGTCCTCAGCGTCGTCGTCACCGCGCTGAGGTACACCACGGCAGCAACTTTTAATCTGCTGGCTAGGAAATAATGTCCGACAAAGTTAAATCCTACGGCACACGTGCAAGCTCAAAGTCCAACGACCATAATTCATACCGATTAGGAAAAGTCCAAATGTCCGTATCCACTGGTCCCACTCGCCCGAGTATTGGGACACAACAGGCAAAGCCACGTCTGACGCATGTTGCTTCCCCATTCTGTCGTGCCAAGGGCACAGTTGAAACAATTAAAGGTGTCTAACGTATGATGAAAAAAGAATGTACCCATTTGTGTGGCCACAAAAGTCCTGGATCTGCAGGCTACTCCCCGCTGATCTCCTGAGAGCGCAGCCTTGTAGCACGGGAAGCTCAATACACCGTTGTGAGGTTCAGCAGTCATGGGCAGGACGTGACGATTCCTTGGGTGAGCCCAGAACCAGAGCATCATGTGTCGGCTCTGCATTTATGGAAACCTCCTTGGATGGCGGGGAATGCCCATGATCTGCCCCTGCCTTCCCTTGAGGGCTGACAATTCTACCTAGGGCTGCCTTAGGAGGATTTTCCGGGGGCCACACCTGTTAAAGGTCAAAGAGGACACCACACAAATGAGGCAACACCTCGACCCACACAGAACAATGGCCACAGTCAACCTAGAAATAGGCGTGACGTCTTCCCTCGAAGTCGGAGTACATCTGCCGGTGAGGTAGGGAACGAGGACTGCAAACAAATAAGCCAGTAAAACGGATGTACACTCAAAACTCAGGTCAAGGTAAAAGCCAAAAGCCCATTTGGACGAACAACCGCGACTTACCGCCGGAATTCACAGCCGGTGAACAAGTAGAACAACAACCTCACGGTAGCAGGGGAACTGTCCAGCATGTTTTTTAACAGAAAATTTTGAGGCATTGCTTGTACTGATAATAAAAACTGCAGTAACTGAAAATATGTTTTTAGCATGGATCTTTGTGTGTTATAACAACCGGCCTCAATTATCCTTGCAGAGTCCCCAATTTGAAGACTGTCCGAGAGCTGATCTACAAGAGAGGTTACGGAAAGGTCAACCACCAAAGGATTGCCCTGACTGAGAACTCTGTTGTTGAGAAAGAACTGGGTATGTTAGACTGCGCTAGTGATCTTGTTATCTTGAATGCTGAAATATGTGATCTACATCTCTACTTATATCTGTTCACATCCAGAAAGCTTTATTTGCCTGTCTCACATGTTCACACTGTAAAATCTTTTAGCAGAAAGAATCTACTCTTTGTATTTAGATGAACTCTGCTGCTGTTAGTGTTTAGGGAGCCTGTCTTACGGTACAAGAGACAGTACTCGTAGAAAAGGGCTGTTCAACTGGCAGGTGGAATTCAGCACTCAATTCTAGCTTTGCTAGTGTACTGCTCTACGTTAAAGCTTTATCTTCTGGCCACTGATCTCAAATTGTCAACATTTCAAACTGGATTTGAAATAACCCTGCTTTAGATCGCATGTTTATGTTGCTTACCACACATTAGAAATATTACCTGGTCTTTCTTTACTTATCATTAATTGTGTGTTGTGTTGAATCTTGTATTTTTTTAATATACTGTTGCAATTTGTCTTTTCCTTGTCCAGTTTTTGCCATCATCAACTACAATGCGCAAAAATGTTATGAAACTGGTAAATGGCAAGCAAACACAATCCACTAAGTCTTGAAGTGGCTTAGCTGTATGTCTATTCTTCTAGCTTGCAACATCAGAAGGCCATCATATTTCCGGTGTCAGTGTTTTCATTGACACTGTTGCATCGATGGAGACAGCCCAGTTCATCTGTTTACTTTGAGAGGTTGGGTTTGTGTCATTGGTGATGACTAACTATTGAGACTTGATGAAATTATATAAAAACTTAAGTAAATTTGCTGCTGTTTTCTTGCAATTACAGGTCCTCTGTTGTACTCTGTATTAACCCCCTGTGTATACTATGGGTGTAAAGAGCACTTATTTGTTAGTCCATATAATATGTATGTTTACCTGTGCTGTTGACGCTAGATGAGATTTGAACCCTTGGCCAAATAAGATTACAACATCCTCCATATGCTATTGATGCATAAGCATGTCAGACCAGACGCATATTTTTAGACAAATTAAGCCTTGACGGGTGATGTGGTCAGCATCATGCCGAGGCCTTTACCTTTGACTTTTTCCCCCACCTGGTACCCATTTGAGGCTGAGTTGAGCCAGGGTCATGTATGAAGATAAAATTAAGTTTTAAACCCCGACCTTGCCTGCAAGTGAACCCCATCATGGCGACTTTGCTTTTCATGCAGTGTGTTGTATATGAGGACTTGACAAGTGAACTGTTTCTCTGTTGCAGGCAAGAGGGACATCATTTGTGTTGAGGACCTTATCCATGAGATCATGACTGTAGGCTCTAACTTCAAGTATGCCTCCAACTTCCTCTGGCCATTCAAGCTGAACTCTCCCCTGGGAGGTTGGCGCCGCAAGTACAACCACTACAACGATGGTGGTGATTACGGTTTCAGGGACACCAAGATTGATGCCCTGGTTAGACAAATGCTGTAATTGCACTGGTTGAATGAGCCGGTTTGAGACCAGCACAGTTATTGAAATAAATTCATTACAAATTGGAATGTTTCTTAGTTAGAATTCTTTGTATTATTAAATTTGTTGTCTTAGCGATACAGCTGGATTATTTAATTGCATGACTGAGACGTGTCTTAAGTTGGATTTGGAAACAGTTATGCATCTGGTGTTGGTCAGTTTGTAACATAATCGTTTCAATCCTATATAACCACTGCTAGAGATTAGGATGACAGATCCAGCACTCCCTCTATGAATTTCACAAGACAAGAAGCTCATTCTGTTGGCAGATAATCATAAACACACCAGCACGGAATAAAATAGCCAGTGCAACACATTGAGAACTTCCTCCCAGTGGCCAGTACGCAAGCATCCATTATTGGCGTTCTCTGCAATTTATTTAGCTTGAAGAGATGTCAAAAGTTGAATGAAAAAATTCACAAACATGAACAAGCGAATGATGTACTTAACTAGGCCACCCCACCACACACGCACACCACACAAAACATCGACATGGTTAGCCAGTTAAAGCTCTGAGACTTAAAACTGGTCCAAAAAATATGTGGAAGGTAAGGGGCATTTGATAAATTCTTTAATATACAACCATTTGTTAGAGGATTATCACCAATGTTCACAGCCACAATTGTTACAGACAAAACAACACTGAGGTATTTATGACAAATTTGGCACTTCACAAACACAATACACGATCTCAGCAAGGTAATCAGATCCCTCAACAATACAAGTAAGCTAAAATGGAAAAATGAATCACATACAATGCTAAAGCTGTGGAATGCGGTTGTTTCCAAATACAGAATAGTTTCTCGTGTCTAGACTTCAACAAAAGACATGTTTATGGATCAGTTCGTTTGTGATAACTTGTCAGGACAAGACCATTGTGTTTACTTGTCCAGTGTTGCCTATAGGTGGAGATGTCAACTGATCAGTCACATGAAGTAAAAAGTCCTTTTTCCACGACCTGAGGTGTAACATATTTTCGTATTTGATGGGTGATGTGGTCAGCATCATGCCGGCCAGGAAGTTTTCACTCAAGGCTGGGTAGACCTGGAAGTAAAAAAGTCTAGCTCTGATCAGCGACAAGATGGATCAATAATTGTAACTAATTTCATGCTTTATTATACAAAATGAAGAGATGCATCACTTCTTGTTCAGTGGCTGTAAACAGTTATAGAAAAGTCTGGCTTTTGTTCACTTCTGTACTTTTGTCTTATTCCCGAACTCGAGTTTTGCACGCACATCTTTTTAACAGACTGTCTCATTTATAAGCAGACGGGTGGTACCTTGCTTCTCAGGCAGATGCACCGTGACTTAAAGAAAACACTCTTAGTAGACTTTTGGGGGTCTATTTTTTGTGTCTGCCACATAATTACAAAAGGATATCCACAAAACTGCCACTGTTCATCATCCAATCTGTGGACAAGGTGTGATAACTGACTGAATCGCTAAGCTATAAGTATCAACACATGTTAGTTTATAATATATAAAAATATTGATATGGCCTAGAAGGTTCCCTGTCTGTTTATTTCTCTAAATTTCAACAGTAGCATGAAGAGGATCTAGATAGATCAGTGAACAGCCAAGACAGGGCATGGGCACATCAGATCTCCAGTGGACAGCTGTCACTGTTAGCCTCATCAGCTCTCTCTTTCTCTCTCTCTCTATTCTTTTATTGTTCTGTGACGACTGCTGAAGTTAAAGATGGGCTGCTTATGGAAATGCTGGTTCTTAACTAACTATATTTAAAAACAGAAAAGTGTACAATAAACAGCTCACACACACAACACCCCTCAGACTTGGAGCTCCAGAGAAAAGAAAATCTTTCAGATGAGTGAAATGGTGTGGTATAAATTATTGCTCATTAATGCATATTTAAACAAAATGAGAGGTGAAATTTTTATACAATTCATTGTATAAATAATTGCTGACAATTGTCACTCATGCCCCACGTAAAGGATTATACATAAAGTCATTACAAATAATACTCGACAGTACAAAGTGGCGAATATAATATTAAACAAATCACTGAGAATGTCAGTATTATCTTCTTAAAACTTTATATATGTATTCTAAGAATATGTGTGTATCTTTTTTATGTTGTCAGTATCTGCTCTTTCCTTTGAAGACAAATTATATCTGCAAGGAACCAGCAGTCTGCATGCAAATGAGTCAGACCTGTGAAATGAATATGCACGCAACACACAGTTTCTGAAATAGGACTAGAGTCCGAAGTTGATGAACAACCAGAACTTTCTGCCAGAGTTTAGTTATTAAACGGATGAGAGGTGGCCGAGTCAGAAAATATAACAATCAAAGCTTTAGTTAGCGTGCCGGGAGTCGAACCTGTCACCTCCAAATGGCATGAGCCCCTCATGGAAACAAGTGTACTAAGATCATGAACAACTAGGCACTCCAAAATGATGTCTTCAGTGGCCATGTCTATTGTACAGCTTGAAATCCAAACCTATGGAATTCATCTCATCCATCCATAGGTTATGTGACAAAATGACCTCAGTGGTCTCAGAAGTTATATTGTGTTTAATAAATTCTTATGTTCAGAGAAGGACAAAGAATTATAAGCAATAGACACTGAGCCTAAAATAGTTCTAAAACCACTATAAGGGATTTGAGAATTGTTTAAACTGTGTTTCCCGTCTTAGCCAGACAAAGCAACCTTGCTTTATGTAATGTTACCTAATACTACTGTAGTTAGAGGTTTCACCTGCCCATGTCATATTATTATCTCCTGCCCAGTCTGTAGAGGCAAGTAAAGGGGGAGATAACGTAGTATCACACCTGAAGATTAGCTCCCCTGAACCCGGCTTTAGTGTCATAAAAAGTTACATAACACAGACTGAGTGGGGCCGTTTGATCAAACTGAAGCAGGGGAATTAGTGGTCTGATAGACATTTCTAGACAGGATGGCGTCCAGCGTCGTCGGAAGTTTCACACCTGATAGTGAAATTCTCAAGAGAACAGATGTTTGGCAATTAGGAATGTTTAATCTTGGTCAAGGTCGTACTGTAGGCTGTTCACTGTGAAGTGACAGGCCCTTGATAGCTAGTTTGATCTAATAGTAATGCCTTGTCTAGAATACAGGAACATTTAATAAAGAGATTAGATTGGTAGGTTCCTTTGTGTTAACATGTCGATTCCTGGCACAGTAACTATAGCTTTTAATTATTTTGTTGTCTAGTGTCTCCTTCCATCTTTCTATGAGTGCCGATCAATACATTGTCTGTTTATTTTATATATATATATATATAATATTTCTAAGGCCTCAAGCTTCCCCCTCTGTTTATTTATGTGATTATCCATAAGAGATGTCATAATCAGTATGAACATTTCTCTTTGTATACGTACAAGCAAATCAGCTCCAGGAGGTATCTACAAACCAAGCACAAACAGGTCATGACAGATGTAAAACATGTGATTGAGAAAGGACGCAAAACAATTACACTGTATAACAAATATATGTACCAGCTGTATTTAACACTGTTGACACAGGAAGGCTAAATCTAGTCACGTCCGGTTGTCTTCTTCTTCATATTAACCGGTTGTTAAGTTCTAATTGTTTGTCCACTTCTTGACTTTGGTACTGTTCCAGAACTTGAGTTTAAATAATTTAATATGCAAATCTATTTTGCAGATCTGACTTATTTGTATGCAGTTGGTTCCTTGCCTCTCCGGCAGATACTCCTATTTTCAGGAAACCCTCTAATTGTGACAGCTACATAAATGCTGGTATGTCGCGATTTCTGCATTGACCTGTTCTCAAAAAGTATAAGTAAATGCTGTTAGTTCTATGTGGGCCTGCATGGTTTTTAGGATGGCCAGATGTGAATATATTGATCTTCTTCGCGTTCACCAGCTGTACACTCTGGTGGAAAGTTCTGGTTGCTCGTCCACTACTGAACTGCAGTCCTGCTCCAGAACCTGAGTGTTCCGTGTGCATCAGTTTTACAGATCTCGGACGCCAACATAGACATTTTCTTATCAGCTGTCTGTACTGGTGGCAGAGCACTTATGGTTTATAACCGTATGCAATGATGCTGGTTCACATCTTCCGACTTTACCTTTTTTTTTTTTAACCTTAAAATATATTTACATATTTCAAAACAAAAATGTGAACAATGTAGATAAAGACATTTTTCAACAATATTGTTAGTTACCTGTGAATAAAAGTTTTTTTTCTCCTTGTAAATGGGTGTATGACCAATTACAAGAGGGAAAGGGCAAAGAGAAATGAAAATTCAATATGAGTATATGTAGAATGATAAACTGAAGCAAAACTGATCAATGGAATGGCAATGTGAAGTTATACAACTAAGAAAATGGTATATTGGAAAACAAACAGTGGTGTGAAATCACATGTATTTTGTGTTCTCCAAGGTTATGCTTTGACAAGCATCACCCTTGTGTGAAGTTCAAATATTCTTTAGGGCTGACAAGTTTCCATTTACAGGAAAAATAAAAATGTCACCAACAACATTAATTTCAGCTGTGCTTATATATGTTTTTAGCAGTGGAGGACATATGTTTTCAAAATGATTGTCACATATTTAAAAAATGGTTTTCATTTAAAGAAACAATTCTAGTTTTTATGTATGGAAAGTATGAGCCACCTTGTATTGTTCCATTTTGCTGTAACCAAGTCTAGTCCCGTTGGCCTCTCTAATGAATGTTCATCTTAGAGTTTCTCTTAAAAAAGATCATGCCTACAAACATCTGCTGTAGTACTGGGAACATCTGTTGATGACACTGTAAGATATTCTAATGGATTCATCGACATTACTCAAATGAATCATTTGGTTCAATTAGTTTCTTCATCACTCAGGAGACGATTTTGGTTTTTGCCAAGGAGCTGCAGAAATGATCACTGCAATAAATCGTTTACTTTTGTCTAATTTTATCCAGGTGAGCTGTTTTCTCACACCAAGTGGTAAAAGGTACTGTCAGATGAGTTAAATTTATACAATAGATGGCTAACATAAATACATCAACAGACAACAACTATAATAATGTTTAATATACCATCCATATAAACAGATCTCAAAGTGTTTACCTGATTGTACACATGGCTGACAAAGTCATCAATCACAAATGTAAAGAAAATAAAGCTGCATTACAAACAAATTATTAGTATAACATATCTGACGTAAAAATGTTGCGCCCATTTACAACATGGCTGTGATATTTGTGTCTTGTGGCTGACACATCTGACTTCTGCAGGCATTTGTTGCCCAGGTTACCCTCCCTGTTAGTTTCTTGGGACACCATAGTCTTGTTTCTTACTAGTTCACATGTGGAATTTCCCCTTTTTCTCAGATTAGGCCAGGCTAGAGTAGCCATGCAATGCTAGTCAGCCTACATGTGAACTGCCTCCTTCCTCAGTGGAGAACGAGGAGTCAACACGCAAACAGTACCAGCTGCAGCCTGACTAAAAGTCCGCTTATGTTCCCCTTCAGTGTTGAATGTCTTCCAGACTCTCTGACCACCGCCTGTTGAGTTAGCCTTTAGGATCATCATCATGTAGCAGGTCCTTTGCAGAACGTCGCTCTCATCACAGTCTGCCTGAAAGAAACTCGGTCTCTCGCCAGTTCTCTTGCCTTATGCACTTTCATACTCAAGGAGTCACTTATATCCTGTGCCCATCTTCGTGTTGGTCAGCCCCTGCCCCTCCTTCCTGGTACCATGCCTTTTGCTATAATTTGTTCCAGTCCGTCGTGGTGCTTGATAGGACCAACATATTTAAGCTTCCAAAACAAGATGCTGTTTATGAGTCGGTCTTTCTTGATTGAAATTCAGATCTCAGTATTTCTCCTTTTTTTCATCTAAGATATTCTGAGAATCTTTCTATACCATTTCAGCTTTAGGATATGATACCCCAACTTATTTGGATAATACTGTTGAATAGACTGCCTATGATTTCTCCTGTTGGATCTGCATCCAACATGGACTCTAAGAGTCACTGCGCCTGACTTAGTTACTTTTTACCCCACTAGGACAATCACATTGAGCGACAAACACCTGGTGACACAAAGTACCACCATTTGGATGAGGATCACCTGTGGAGAGGTCCCAGAAACTCCATTCAACCATTAGGCTATATTAGGGCTCTTGGCAACAACCAGGGTGGGGCTTCAATATAATGAAAAAATTTGTCCCACATGGGGACAAGGAATAAGATTACCGCATGCCAAATCTCCTGTGTGTAGTCCTGGAGTGGGGAATACAAATAGTGAAAAAACGTCTTTTGCTGTCAAATTTATCTTTGTTAATTTAAAAAAGGTGTTTTTACTATGTGGTAATCTTTGGCAGTTTAAGTAGTCCAAGCAGTAATAAATAAAATAAATATTCCTAATAAATTTGTTGCTATTCACTGTTGTAGTCATCAAAGTTCTCTCCCTGCATGACCTCAGACTGGTGGTAGCGGCCCCTGTTAGCGAAGTCAGCATTATCTTCAGTTAGTTGAGCAGCGAGTGTGTCCACAGCAGGAGTGCTAGGTGCTACAATGATATGTTCTTTTGGAAGCCCTCCACTTCTGCGTGAACATAAAAGAATATGTTCAGTAAATACAAAAATCTTGACATTATCACACAAAGTCTCAACAGAAAAGTTCATCTTATTGGTAAGTAAAAGTCAAGTCCTCCCTCCTTCCCAACAACCAGTGGCACATCAGGCATCTGGATTATACACTACTCAGCCGTGGATTTGTCCTACTGGCGCCTCACTATAATTGTGTCTCATATATGTGTCCATCAGAATAACCTGTGATAAACAGAAATAACCTATCCTGCTATCAATGCCTGCAGTGATCCTCAGATCAGCATTTACAGCAATGCAGAAATATATACTTGTTCAAAAAAATTAATGCAGGTATCTGATGGTGCATTTTTATTAGTCGACAAGAAAGCCTATGTGCCTAAAAACTATCAGTGAACTAGATGGAAAAGGACTGTCAAATGATTGGTAAAACCCTAAGGTATTCTTGTGTGCAATTTGAACAATTTCAATCATTACACAGATTTTGAATGTCAAAATTATGTTCCTGTCAGCAGCTATGCATTTTTTTTAAAGATAACTATGCTGTTCTCTCTCTCTCTGTCTCTGTGTAAGTGTGCGTGCATGCATGCGTGTGTGAAAACAGTATAATAATAAAATGGCTGCCTTGTCAAAAACAACCAGCTTGTGGTCAGTGGTCGAACTCACCTGCATCTGTGTATCAATTCCTTGATCCAATCGTAGAAGTTGAACTCTGCAATTCCTGTCAGTGAAGAGATGAAAAAAAGTTAACAATTTGTGATGAAATGAAAGTGTGGTGAAATTAAATAATTTAGATGACCATCAGTAACTTTGCGTCTTTCAACAGGGTAATGTTGTACTGTGTTCAAGTAAAATATCAGAGTCACAGCCCATGCTGATGACCAGTGTGACAAGTAAAATATCAGAGTCACAGCCCATGCTGATGGCCAGTGTGACAAGTAAAATATCAGAGTCATAGCCCATGCTGATGACCAGTGTGACAAGTAAAATATCAGAGTCACAGCCCATGCTGATGGCCAGTGTGACAAGTAAAATATCAGAGTCATAGCCCATGCTGATGACCAGTGTGAAAAGTAAAATATCAGAGTCACAGCCCATGCTGATGACCAGTGTGAAAAGTAAAATATCAGAGTCACAGCCCATGCTGATGACCAGTGTGACAAGTAAAATATCAGAGTCACAGCCCATGCTGATGGTCAGTGTGACAAGTAAAATATCAGAGTCACAGCCCATGCTGATGGCCAGTGTGACAAGTAAAATATCAGAGTCATAGCCCATGCTGATGACCAGTGTGACAAGTAAAATATCAGAGTCACAGCCCATGCTGATGGCCAGTGTGACAAGTAAAATATCAGAGTCATAGCCCATGCTGATGACCAGTGTGAAAAGTAAAATATCAGAGTCACAGCCCATGCTGATGACCAGTGTGACAAGTAAAATATCAGAGTCACAGCCCATGCTGATGACCAGTGTGACAAGTAAAATATCAGAGTCACAGCCCATGCTGATGACCAGTGTGACAAGTAAAATATCAGAGTCATAGCCCATGCTGATAGCCAGTGTGACAAGTAAAAACCGCTTGCTCTAAAAAACCTTTACCAGTTGCTAATAGTGAGCCTTTTTCGTATTGGGCATATAGGGCTAGACCTATAATTTATTGAACAATCTGCACTCCGTGGTTGACATCACGCCGTGCTCCTTTACTTCTCAGGACTTCACCCATTTAAGGCTGAGTAGACCTCGGAGCCATGGTCATTTCTGAAAAAGTCCAGCTTCGTCGGGACCTTAACCCAGGACCTTTAGATCTGCAGACGAGCATCTAGCTGCTACATCATGGCGGTTCCCCTTTCACAGTTAGAGCAAGAAATTCAGGATCACTGTTGACATCGCATATATTTATACCGTTTCCTCTCAGAGAGTCAGTTCTTAACTTATATGCAATCATTTTCTCTTCCAGATTCTCCCTCCCTTCTCCTCCAAGCAACACGGTCCAAGACATCCTGTTCTCATGAATCTATCTCAGTAGTTCGCTGTATCTCGTCAGGTGCAACTTACAGTAACAACTGATAAAATCTTCTTTTACCTGTTCACTGGCTGTAAACTCCGGCGAAAAGTTCTGGCTTTTTGTCCACCTCTAGGCTATAGTCTTGTTCCAGAATGTGAGCGTTGTGTGCACATCCGTTTAACAGATCTGACCTAATATTATGCAGACTGTCGGTTCCTTGCCTCTCAGGCAGATGCACTCCGACTTTGAAGGAAGCCCCCAATTAGTCAACTCTTATGACATGCTTGTTGTGGAGGCAATGGATCTATTCTTGATTTCCCCACAATGGCGTCCTGGGACCCACACGGGGAATTGATTAAAATGAAGCACATAAATGAATCTGTAATAAGGTTTCCTCTCTCTTTTAGTTCTGCTCCAAGTTTCGGAGCCATATAAAACAACTGGTTAATCAGTTACCTGGGAAATATCCAGGGCTTGCCCTGCCGATGTAGAAGTAGATCAGGAAGAAAATGGCAAGTTCAATGAGCGCAAAGATCCACTGGATAATGAATAAGATGACTAGGCAGATTGCAGTCTGAAAACAAACAACTATATAGGTTATTTTCTATCCATACAAACAATGGCAAAATTATTTAGAACATGAAAAATATATTACAGTAGCAAGGATAAATGCAAGGATACAGCTCCATAAACCAGTTCTGGTTTGACATAACAAGTCAATATTTAAAGTTTGGTACAGTGTGGAACTGATAAGGAGAACGAATAGGGGGAACCCAAGAAATTGTTCTTTTCAGGAGAATTCCTCTTATGCAGATAAGAATTCAAGCAAGAAAAATTTCTGAGGATAAATAAATTGTTCTTCACAACAGAAATTTGGCACATCCGAGATCACTTTTAGCGGTCTGCACCGAATTAGTTTTTACTGATTTTGACATTCACAGATTTTCTAGTGCTGAGAAAACTCCTCTTGCATTTTGTATTTGTATGATTCTACTTCTTCTTCGCGTTCACCAGCTGTAAACTCTGGCGGAAAGTTCTGGTTGTTCATCCACTTCTGGACAGCAGTCCTGTTTCAGAACATGAGTGTTGCGTATGCATCCATTTTACAGATCTGACTCATATGTATGCAGACTGCTGGTTCCTTGCCTCTGAGGCAGATGCACTCTAACTTCCAAAAACTCCCAATTAATCGACTCTTACGGCATGCTTTTGGGTAGGCAGTGGGTCTATTCTTGTTTTCCATGTAATAGAGCCCCGGAACTCACACGGGTAATTTGTATGATTAAACCTGTGTGTACCCTCCCCCTTCCAGCTCCACACTCCCCACAACATATCTATGTTACTGTCTAAATATATGTATGCTCCATATGTTCAAGTAAACACTCACCACTAGCGGCTCGTGGGCAGGAACAGCGGAATTTAGCTTCTTATGCGCATTCACAGAACAGACTCAAAAGTTCACACACGTATGCATTCTTAGTGACTTGATGAATATGCTAAAAAATCCAAGCTGGATTTATCAGGCAAGATGGATTGAAACACTAAGTACTTCATGAATATCTGCCTTAACCTTCATCTTTGTGCCATGTCATGCGGGTGTTCAAGGGAACGAGCGTGCAGACTATCTTGCTGACACTGCAGTTGCTATGGCTGGCCCAGTGCTGGACAGAAGTAATGTTATCAATGCCATGCGCTGCACTTACCTGATGGACATGGGGGTGTAGCCTGGAGCTGCATTTCACTAAGGGGACAAGACATTTCATTAACCAACAAAGAACATCATCAGTCATTTTACACTTGTGGAGCTTTAGAGGGGGAGATCGGAGCACCTATAGATCTGTCCGAGTGCTGTGATGATAATCCTTTCTAATCACTTATCACTATTGTATGCAAGATAACTTCCAGTTAATATGACAAACAATGTAACATGTACTTACACCCAGTAGGGACAGCCAACGGTTACATAACATGGAGTACCAAGACCTCGGCTGTTCGGTAATTTCTGTATTGGGAGACCTCTTGATACCTGTGCAGATGAAAGATGTAAGTACCATTTAACCAATTGATATAAATGTCTCTTCTACCCTAAGCAGCTGCCATACCCTGTAGCTCTTCTTTATTTCTCTTTCTAGTTACAAGAAATAATACTGAAGTTATAAAATAGTTATTGTCCGAAACTGACAATCCACACTTGACTACTAACCGATTGCAGTATTCCTCCATATTTTTACACCCACTGCCTATCAAAACAAGGGAAGTCTTTTTTCCTGACAAGTTATATAAGACAGAAATGTTACTGTTTTAACAGTCCGGTTATGTAACCACAGGGTATTGTAATATAACTGTTTTATGCAGTTTCACAGGGTTTCTAAGATTTATACCAGTTTGATTTTCATATCCCTTAAAGGACGTAGCAAAAACAACCCCAGCATTTGTTTGACTGTTGTGGTTTTTTAGGCAAATTTACATTCAGTAGATTCTCATAACCGAGGTGATAATCTACATGCTGCAATCCTGGAAAAAGAAAAACCTCATACCCTGTTACAAAATTAGGCAGATATTTTTTGGCAGCCCACTAGTGGGTCATTGCCGACTGGTTGAAGAATGAAGAACCCTGGTGTAGCGGACATGTGTTTGAATCCCCTTTGAAATAAGGATATCTTCCTAATTTTTCTGGTTTCAACAGTCAACCCAGCCTACTAGGGAGTTTCCTGGCAAGCAAGAATGATCATCTTGTGATTGACTGTATCACCCATCAAGTTCCAATCTGTCCAAATATAGGTGGCAAACCGTGCATAATTAGAACACCTCTCGGCATGAAAAAAAGATCCTTAATTTATTATGTTGGAGATTTTAAACATTTCTGCCATATTAAAATTTAAAATCAACAACGCAAAATTTACAGTGAACTCTGGTAAACACTTTGTAGTCCTATTTCTTGCCTAAGAAGTTTATGAATTTTATTGAGATTCTCCTAATGTGATCTGTAGAGACTACTGCACTTGTGGACATATCCATAAGCTATACAGGTGATTTCTTCATGTAAGTAAGTAACTAATGGACCCTTTTCCACGCATTTAGGCTAACAGGGCTAGACCGATATTTTTATTGACCAACGGCACAAAATGGGTGATGTGGTCAGCATCATGCTGGCCGCCTCTACTTCCCGGGACTGATTTCTTCATGAATTTCAAACAAATATGAAGAAGAACAAGAAAGTACACACCATACCTAATAAATGTGCTGTGTCTGCTAAATCTTCAGGTGAGCCAGGCGCTCCCTCTTCAGGCCCCATTTTTGACTTGGTGATGTCAAAATCAGCCTCCGGAGTATTGGCTCTCTCTGTCTGAGGTTCAGAGACTAACCTTTGACCTCGGTGAGTCAATCGTTCAGGAAACAGTTTGTCCAGGTCCCCAGCAAATTTCTCAAAGGAATCTTTGTTTAGAGTCACATCTATTGGTTTTCCTGATGAGAAATGAAGACATATGTCTATGCAGGAATGAGAAAACAATTAGACAAAAAAACATGGAACAATAAAAAAAAAGCTTCATGCATCTCAGTAAAGAAATATAATTAAAGAGTGCTCCAATGGTACCTTTAGCTGCTAGAAGTGGTCTGCAAACTTTTTTTTCCAGGTGGCGCCCTCCTCTTCTCATTCCAGTTGGTGACTTCAAGTGTAGGTCTATGTGGATTTGATCTCTCCAATGTCTTCCTGGTCAGCCTCTTGGTGTACTGCCATTCAACTCTTTTATGTAGTCAGTTTTTTCCATCTCTGTTATCTGCCATTTTCTTTATGGGCCTCAAACAACACAGTCTATCAGCTCTCAGATACCAGTAATCAGTGGTGAATTAAAAAGATTTTGAATTTCTTTATTGCTTCTCACTGCCCCTGTGCGGGTTCCGGGATCCCATTGTAGGGGAAAACAAAAATAGACCCACTGCCTCCCCAAAAGCATGTCATAAGAGTCGACTAATTGGGGAGCTTCCTTTGAAGTCGGAGTGCATCTGCCGGAGGGGCAAGGAACCAACAGTCTGTATTCAAGATTATGAGATTTGTAAAACTGATGCACACGCAACACTCAGGTTCTGGAGCAGGACTGCAGTTCAGTAGTGGACGAGCAACCAGAACTTTCCGCCAGAGTGTACAGCTGGTGAATGCAAAGAATAAGAAGAAGCTTCTCACTTTCTATTCTCTGCTGTGTCCATTTTCAATGGGTCCAAATATTCCCCGTAAGACTATATTCTCAGAAATCTAATTAATTCTCATCTCCTGTAGCTTTTAGCTGTAAACACAGAAGGTGTCTATGTCTTACAGTGGTGGAGAAACTTGTGCTCCTCACATGCCGATTAGTGGTCATACACAGGGTTGGAACTCACCCCCGCCCCTCCCCTTCTTCAATGTAGCACAAAAATGAACAGTAACTATAGCTTGTATACTCACTGATTGTAGTGACTCCATTAGATGTTATACTGTCAGAACTTGCTCTATGTACAGCCTTGCTACTGGCATTGACCTGAAACCTCTCCTCCCTGGACTGTCGTTTATCGTAGCTCATGGCCAGTACAAAATAGGAGTAATCAACGGCAGCATAGGTAAACAAGAATGCAGTTGTAACCACGGGAGCCAAGGAGTTGACGTCACCGACACAGATGAAGATGAGAACCACCAGCGTGATGACGACCAGAGCAAAAACTGGAACCTTGTTCGGCCCTCGCTGATTGTAGCAATAAACACAAAAACTTAGTAACAGTTAAGTGATCACAGAGCACTGATGCAACCAAACAAATATACCTATCTATTTATATTCCTACAATATGTTACAATTAACACAAAATCTATGCAATATCAAACGACAATATTTTCTACATAGACTCTAGGGTCCAATTTGGGGGGGGGGGGGGGTCAGAGGGGGTCAGACCCACCCATAAAAAGCATGTTGTAAAAGACGACCAATTAGAAGAGTTTACTTCGAGGTCGGAGTGTCTGAGAAGCAAGGAACCAATAGTCTGCATACTAATAAGCCAGTTCTGTAAAACCAATGAACCTGACAGACTGACTGGAGCATACAAAACGAAATGCAAAGAAAGAAAAAAAACCAGATACACACAAAACTCAAGTTAAGGAACAAGACCAAAACCCAGAAGTGGTGAAGAACAAGAACTTTCCACTGGAGTTTACAGCCACTGAATTCTAAGAAAGAGGAGCAGCTGGTCAAATGGTTAACCTTGCTGGCTTTTATGAGGACAACCCAGGTTTGAATGCTCAGTAAGGTTGCAGCTTTGTGTGTGTGTGTCATGGCATGCCTGGAAATATCCCTTTCCCTAGCCAGCTTTTCAGCGCCATGCGCTTTCAATGCCAATGTATCTTCAATCTCTTGTATCCTTCTCTTAGAGGTGGTCAACCCCTGCCTCGCCTTCCACAAACTGCTCCCTCCATCACCGTCTTTTCTAGGCCACCATGACGTTTAATGTGGCCAAAGTACTTCAACTTTTGAGACAGGATACTGTTTATGAGCCAGTTCTCCTCGATGTTGAACTAGTGTAGAATGTGGATATTTTTCCTTTTCTCCATTAACGGTTTTCTGAGAATTTTTCTGTAACATTTTAATTCAAAAGCTCTAATCTTTCTCTTGAGTTACTGAGTGACAGTCCAGGACTCACAACTGTAAGTTGCCACAGGAAAAATGCATGATCTCAAGATTGTTACTTTAACTAATTTACAGGTGCTTTGCCATAGGTTCTTCAAGCTGTTTAATCTCTGCATTGCTAATGCGTCTTCTTCTGACTTCTTTCAAGCAGTCGCCATTGTTGTTCACTAAAGAGCCCACGTATTCTAAATCTGTGACATTTTCTATTTTTTGCTTTTCAGTTGTGGTATGTGACTGGTGTGCTGTATTTACTGAGTAAACATAATCTCCGTCCCAATGTGGGACGCATTTTTTTGTTATTTTGAACAATGGTGAAATGTGAATGATACATGGGGAACTATGGTGCTATGTGAATGATACATGGGGAACTATGGTGCTATGTGAATGATACACACATAAAACTATGGTACTAATACATGGAGAACTATGGTGCTATATGAATGATACACACAAAAAACTATGGTGCTATGTGAATGATACATGGAGAACTATGGTGCTATATGAATGATACACATAAAACTGGTGCTATGTGAATGATACACATAAAACTATGGTGCTATGTGAATGATACACACATACAACTATGGTGCTATGTGAATGATACACATACAACTATGGTGCTATGTGAATGATACACAGAGAGCTATGGTTCTATGTGAATGATACACACATAAAACTATGGTGCTATGTGAATGATACACAGAGAGCTATTTTGCTATGTGAATGATACACAGAGAGCTATGGTTCTATGTGAATGATACACACATAAAACTATGGTGCTATGTGAATGATAAAACTATGGTGCTATGTGAATGATACACACATAAAACTATGGTACTATGTGAATGATACACAGAGAGCTATGGTGCTATGTTAATCCCTGCATGTTTGTGGTGGAGGACAACAACTCACCCCGTGTCCCAGCACTTTGATGATGGGGACGACATTCTCATTGGCAATTGACTGGAGGATCCTGGGAGGCCCATACAAGCTGCCCATACAGGAGGACACAGAGGAGATGTAGAGACCGGCAAGCCACAGCACACCAACTATTGAGACCTATGTGGGTTTTGAACACCAAATTTCATATTATTCAACATCTCCTGTGGGCTTGGGGCTCTATTTTTGAGAACAAAGAATCAACCCACCGCCTCCCTAAGTATGACAGAGGAGGTATCAAACTAGGGGTGTTTCTTTCAAAGATGGAGTGCATATGTCTGAGAGGCAAGGAACCAATAGTGTGCATACAAATAAGCCAGACCTGTAAAATTGATGTACATGCAAAACTCAAGTTATGGTTCAAATTAAAGTCCTGGAATGGTCAAACAACCAGAACTTTCTGGACTTTGCAGTGAGTAAATGATAAGAGAAAGAAGAAGAAGAAGTATCATTTCAGGCTATTGCTTCTTTTTCAGCATCCTGAGCCCTTGAGAATCACTGCTGCAGAAATCACACATCTCAGTTCACTGCTACGGCTGGCCTTCTCTTTCCAGTTGGTGACTCCAAGCCTGTAGGTCTGCTTGTCTAATATCCCGCCACCATCTTCTTGGTCTGCCCTTTTGTCCTTTGTCAGCTCTTCTGTGTAAACAGTTTTTGTCTGTGTGTCATCTGTCATTCTCTCTTTATGTCCCAAAACACTGCAATCTATTAGCCCTCATGATGCTAGTAATTGGTGGTATAAACAGATTATGATGTTCACTATTGCATCTCACTCTCCATTCGCCAGAGTTCATATCTTTGATTCATTCTAAGACTCTGTTTTCAAAAGTTTGTCATGTCCCTGTGTTGGTTCCAGGGTTCCACGTTGGAGAACAATGAAGAGACCCAGTGTTGTCCGAATAATAAGTATGTCACAGCAGGCGACTAATAAGGGGTGTTGCCTTCAACTTCAGAGTGCATCTGCCTGAGAGGCAAGGAACCAACAGTCTGCATACAAACAACCCAGATTTGTACACAAAACTCAAGCTCTAGATGAAGATCAAAGTCCATAAGGTTGCAATAAGGCTTCATCTCTTTTAGATGAGAACAGTTATAAAATACAGTGCAGACCAGATCAGAGGAACTCACCAGGGACCCAAGAAATAATTCTTCTTATAAGAAATTTCTCTTATGCAGATAAGACTATTTCAAGCATAAGGCAATGCATTTACATCATACAGTACAAACGTATAGTAAATTAGCACTAGATATGAAAGATATATGACCACAACAGTCGTCACTGGAATATCAATGTAGGTGACACCTGACTGGTGTAACCATGACTGGTGCCCTAATTATAACTGCTTTGGAGGTTGAACAGGGTATGTAGGATCTGTCTTGTTGGTCTGTCTCCAGACTGAGACTGTTTCAAATCTCAGGATGTTATGGTAAAACTTCAGGTAGCATCCTGGAGGGCACAAATTAGTCAATCGATCGGCACAGAAAATTAGTAAATCACATAAAAATTAATTTAGAGGAGAAAAAACTCAAATTCTAAGACATACAAAGTGCAATTTTTCAAAACAGTTGAAAGTTGTACAAATGTCCAGATATCTGAAAACAGCTCACTTTAAAAGGATAAAATTATATGGTCAGGACACGTTTAATAGTTCATCATGTCCCAAATTTGTGATTAACAGATTCCTCTCAACCATACTATCTTTTTTTTTTTTACAAAGACAAAGAAGAAAAATTGCAGGGAATAAACAAATTATTCTTCACAACAGAGATTTGCCACATCCAAGATCATCTTAAGCCGTCTTGAACCAAATTACAAAATGGCCTATGTCCGTTTAGTTTATACAATGGATCAACTCATAGCACAAGTGTAGTAACCTATAAGCGCTCTGTTCTACTTCTAAATCAAGCCTGGGTCCGAAGTATCTCACTGTAGCACCGGCGAGGATCCTGAGATATTTTGGGTCAGTTTTAAACTCCAGATTTTGCCCGGGCAGCACCGTTAGGCTACTCTTTTTTTATTTCCAACTGCCAAGGATTTTTTTTTTACATGTACAGAAATACAAATGGGAGTCCAATCTGACTACCCAGAGACCCGGGGAAATTACTAGAAGTCCATGTGAAAAAATCCCAGCCTTCACCGGGGTTTGGACCCAGGACCTTCAGCACTTGAGGCGGGTGCCATGCCTCGAGATCACTCAGCCGACATTTTACTAGAAGTAGAAAGTAGGAGGTCTACCATAGACAGGACTGTCAGTAATAACCAGCTTACCTTTTCTGCTATCATATAGTCAGCAATCAAAACTGTCCTGACACAGGTGGCTCCAAGCACCAAAATGATGGATATACACAGAAATGTTCTGTAGATTGACAAGATAATATCAGTTTGAATAATAAATATTTTAAACAGCAATAAATATCTGACTACATCTAGCAAATATTTCAGTTCAGAGAAAGAGAACGAGAGAGAGGAGAGAGAGAGAGAGAGAGAGAGGGGGGGGGGAGAGAGAGAGAGAGACTCATAGAATGAATGAACAAAATGAAATTATGAGTTTTATTGTGTAGCTAGAGTCCAGAAGTAGACGAACAACCAGAACTTTTCCGCCGGAGTTTACAGCCGTCGAACATGAAGAAGAAGAATTGTGTTGCAAAAAAGACCAGCTAACTTATATTATTATTATTATACAGTTTATACTATGACATATGTACAAAGATGGCTTGAAACCTGACTCACCCGACTCCAAGAGCTGCCAGTGTACCCTGGGGGATGTTGTGGAAAGGATCTCTGAGGTCTCCGCTCATGTTGATGCCAGCAAGGATGCCGGTCACGGTGGAGAAGAACAGACCAAAAATGGTGAAGAAATTCTCCCCACTGACAAATTCTGGCCCAGAGTTGTTGAGGAAGTTGACATCACTGTAGCCTGTGACACCAACAGCTAAGAGAGAAACAGTATTTCCTATATGCTGTTGTCCTCTTAACAGATGGGCCCACTGGGCACTTGCCTCGGATGCTAATCTGTGTATGTCAAGTCATTTATTTAATTTTTTTTTGTATGGGTTCCGGGGAAAACAAGAACAGACCCACTGCCTTCCCAATAGGCATGTCGTAGGAGTTGACTTTTTGGAGGCCTGAGAGGCAAGGAACCAAAACTATGCACACAAATAAGCCAGATCTGTGAAACGGATGTGCACGCAACACTTACGTTCAGCCCAGAACTTTCCACAAGAGTTTACAGCCAGTGAACGTGAAGAAGAAGAAGGAGATCCAAGAGCTTGATCTAGAGGTGGACCACAGTAGTCTGTGGGCTACTCTGCACAAAGTCAGTCTTGTCACCAACAGTGGGTTATAATTAAAGGTGAAGGAACCAGTTTCCATGACATTGTCGTATGTTGGGTATGTCATGCTAGATCTGCATCATCTTCCCCAAGTAGCACTGGATTTTTCTTCTCCTTCTTCTCCTTCTCCTTCTTCTTCTTCTCCTTCTTCTTCTTCTTCTTCATCTTCTAAGCATTCACTGGCTGTAAAAAAAGTAAAGTAGTAAATGTTCCTTTTCCACATCTTTAGGCACATAGGGCTAGACCTATATTTTTATAGACCAATCAGCACAAGATGGGTGATGTCGTCAGCATCACGCCGGCCGCCTTTATTTCTCAGGGCTGCACCCAGTACTTATTCAAGGCTGGGCTGACCTAGGAGTCAAGGTCATTTCTGAAAAAAAAAGTCCTATCTCCATCAGGACCTGAAACCATGACCTTCTGATCTGCTGCTGCATCATGGCAGCTCCCAACACTCCTAATTAGTCAGTTTTTACCGCATGCTTGTTGGGGGGGGGGGGGGGGTGAATTAATCATGTAATTGGTAAACTCTTATATCTAGTTTATAAAGCTGGGTTAACTGGATTGCTGTCTTCTGTTCTTCTTTTCTTATTCCTCATCTTCTTCTTCTTCTCTTTTTCCCCCCATTCCTCCGCCCTCCCCACACAATTTATACCAAATCAGCCTATCTGTTGCTTTTTTCCCCTGCATGATTCTTGCATAGTAATTAGTGTAGTCACTATGATCTATGTTTTTGACACATACAGTTATACTGACTTGCCATAATAGTTAAATTAAATTATGTCAGGTATCAGATTTCTTTCCTGGTTTCTTTAAAAAAAAGTGTTAGAGCGCTAGAAAAGATATATTACCCTTTGTATCCTTATTCTAGTTCATAGCGAACACCCCCCCCCCCCCCCTCCTTCCCCCACCAAATCACTACATAACTTCTTAAATACAGGTATGATTCCACCTCTTCAATCTAGGTTTCACCAAAGGGGGGGGGGGGGGGTGTCAGGTTATCATTTGTTCTCACTGCTACCTCCCCCCCTACACAATTTAGGTATAGGTATATTTATATATATACCTATACTAAAATATACATACATATATATACAATATTTAAACAGTGTTACAGATTTCATTTTCTGGTTTGAAAAGAAAAAAATGCAAATTATGGAAATGTTATTTTATTGACTGTCTTCTTCTTCTTTTATCCTTCTTTCAGAAAAGGTACAACAGGAGGCCGGTAGCCTTTAGGAAAGCTGTCACGCAGTCCCTATGCCCTTGTGTACCATAACAGTTTTGCCTTCTCTGGTTGGAACAGGCCAGATTGCATCTCTGTTTTCAGCATTCAGTTGACAGTGTTGGAGCATATGCTCAGCATTTTCTGATGCCAGATTGCAGGGAAACGTCTCTATTATCCTTCACCAAACAGTCTGAACACATGTTGCGCCCTGTTCTTAGTCTGAATATAACACATTGTTCCTCTCTGCCAAAAACTGCCTGCCAAAAACTGCCAATTACTGCTTTTATTTACTACTTTTGCGGTGTAGGCGGGGATGGGGGGGGGGGGTCTTTGAGCCTGAGGTTTTAAGGCAGCATGGCTAGTGCTGTCGCCACGACTGTGCAGGTGAAAATTTTATTTTGCCCCTGACAGAAAAAAATCCCCAGTCTTACCGAGGATTTGAACCCAGGTTTTCTGCATGTTAGCCCAGCGTTCTAACCATTCGGCTAGCGCTCCTCGTTCCTCTCTAGAATGGCGATGAAGCGAGTCTTTAGGAGAACATTTGGTGTATATATCCAGACACCTTTCTTGGATACAAGACTGTAATAATGTCCTAGTCTTTGATAGGTTGTCACTATTTAACTGTACCATGCCTTTGCCACTTGTGACCAGTCTGTCCATTATTGAACTGTCTTCCAAGCCACAGTGACCTGGAATCTAATGCAGTACAGCTTGTTCTACTGAACAGCCTAATTTACTGTTATAGATGTGATTGCATACACCATCAAAATGTGTACATGTGTAATGGGGTTGTTACAGAGTTCTGATAACTGAACTGAGCTGAGCTGTTGATGTGAGCTGTACCTGGTTGTGTGTGTACAAAGGAACCCACAAGTAAATCCATGATGGACAAAAACAGAACCAGCAGCAGTAGTAGTTGAAGTCGGATCACCCATTTGACGCCAGCCATGTTGACACCTGGAATCAACAACAAACAATATTAGGCATAACACATCATCATAAAATACTGAAACACTTTGGCGGTATCAAACACCATGGTGGATTGGAGAGAACAGTGATGGAGTGCTTGGTGCTGGGTAACAGAGGCAGGGGCCAGCCACCATGAAGATGGGCACAGAACACAAGAGACAATTTTCCCACGAGGCGGGAGAGCTGGCAAGGGACATTAAATGGACAGTTTTGGTTGTTTGTCTACTTCTAAACTTTGGTATTTTTTCTGGATCTTAAATTTTGTGTGCACATTCATTTTACAGATCTGACTTTTTTGTATGCAGACTGTTGGCTCTTGCCTCTAAAGCAGATCCACTATGACTTCAAAGAAAATATCCATAATTAGTTTAAATTTAGGACATGCTTGTTTGAGGGGGGGCAGTAGATATATTATTCTTCCCCACCTCAAATGGGGTTCCGGGGTCCACATAGGGATGAGCTGCAGTAGCATTATACTCAATTATACAGCACTAACTCTAGGTAGCTGCTGTGGTGTAGTGGCTAGACGCTCACATGCAGATCTGAAGGTGATGGTTTCTTGTGGAAAAAAAACCGGCGTAGGTTCCCAGATCAACCCAGCCTAAAATGGGTACCAGATCAAGTCCTGGGAAGTAAAAATGGCTAACCCACTGAGTGTCGATTGGTCTATAACAAAAATATAGATCTATATACCCAGAATGTCTAAAGGCGTGGAAAAGAGTTCTTTACTTGACTTTAAAAAAAAAATTGTACAGACTGTAGCAGCAGTAACACTAGAACAAAGAATATAACATAGAACAAAGAATATAACACAGGCTGAGTGGTAGCCTCACCTAGCAGCAGTAACACTAGAACAAAGAATACAACACAGGCTGAGTAGTAGCCTTACCTAGCAGCAGTAACACTAGAACAAAGAATATAACATAGAACAAAAAATATAACACAGGCTGAGTGGTAGCCTCACCTAGCAGCAGTAACACCAGAACAAAGAATATAACACAGACTGAGTAGTAGCCTCACCTAGCAGCAGTAACACCAGAACAAAGAATATAACACAGGCTGAGTGGTAGCCTCACCTAGCAGCAGTAACACCAGAACAAAGAATATAACACAGGCTGAGTAGTAGCCTTACCTAGCAGCAGTAACACTAGAACAAAGAATATAACACAGGCTGAGTGGTAGCCTCACCTAGCAGTAGTAACACCAGAACAAAGAATATAACACAGGCTGAGTAGTAGCCTTACCTAGCAGTAGTAACACCAGAACAAAGAATATAACACAGGCTGAGTAGTAGCCTTACCTAGCAGTAGTAACACCAGAACAAAGAATATAACACAGAGCAAAGAATATAAGACAGAACAAAGAATATAACACAGAACAAAGAATATAACACAGGCTGAGTGGTAGCCTTACCTAGCAATAGGATCACTATACCAAAGGCTATGCCCCTGGCTATCCATGGATTCTGTTGGCTGATGAGGTTCATGATGGATTCCCCGAAACCCATGACACTTAGAGAGCAGCTCACAGCCTGAAACAGGGAGGGAACACACTTGGTTAGTGTCAGCGGATGCTCATCTATCATTTATAAGGCTTGGTTAAAATTTCAGCAAATGTTGAATGTCAAAAGATTTGGAGGCCAGACTGAGACTTTCACACTGTGAGAGAGAGAGAGAGAGACAGAGAGAGAGAGAGAGAGAGAGAGAGAGAGAGAGAGAGAGAGAGAGAGAGAGATCAGACAGACAGACAGACAGACAGACAGACAGAGGGAAAAAGGGGAGGGGAGACAAAAAGGGAGAGAGAGAGAGAGCGAGAAGGAGACAGATAGTCAGATAGATTAACAGAGACACAGACAGGCAGAAAGTGTGTGAGAAAGAGTAAGAACAGAGTAACCAGGTTAGTTGAAAACAATACAAAGCGTGTCCAAACATGTTACTTCACCATATATCTAATTTGGTGACTAACCACTAATTTATTCTTAAAATATTATTGTAGTATTTCTTTTCTTGTCTTTCAGAAATATGTGATAGTTTGAATATTTGACTGTGAAAATTATGTATAAACTTTGAACTTTTATCAGGGCAATAGCCATTTTTGACCTCTTCAGTTGTTTACTGATAGGGCATTTTTTATTAGCTCTTAACCACATGGTACCTTGAATTTTTTTCATCATTATCAGAGCAGTCTAAATATATGGTCCACTACCAGGGAAGCAAAGGGGAAATAGAGTATAATATCTTCCAGCTAATTTGTTCAATGTAGCATGTGGTTCATGACTGGGTACATGATGCCAGCCTCAGATATTTATAGACCAATTGGCACTTGATGGATGATGTGGATAGTTTCATGCTGGTCATCTTTACTTCCCAGAACATTTTCTGGTACCATTATTAGGTTGGGTTGGCCTGGAAATTCAGGTTAACTCTTTCAGTATCAAGGAATGAAACAGGCGTTAGCTGATTTTTTAAAAATATCTTAGTCCTTTCTTAACTCTTTGTGCCCCATCCAGTTGTTATATTACCTTTCTCTACCCCAGTCTGTTATATTACCTTTTTCTGCCCCAGTTGTTATATTACCTTTATCTGCCCTAGTTATATTACCTTTATCTGCCCCAGTTGTTATATTACCTTTCTCTGCCCCAGTTGTTATATTACCTTTCTCTGCCCCAGTTGTTATATTACCTTTCTCTGCCCCAGTTGTTATATTACCTTTATCTGCCCCAGTTGTTATATTACCTTTCTCTGCCCCAGTTGTTATATTACCTTTCTCTGCCCCAGTTGTTATATTACCTTTCTCTGCCCCAGTTGTTATATTACCTTTATCTGCCCCAGTTGTTATATTACCTTTCTCTGCCCCAGTTGTTATATTACCTTTCTCTGCCCCAGCTGTTATATTACCTTTCTCTGCCCCAGTTGTTATATTACCTTTATCTGCCCCAGTTGTTATATTACCTTTCTCTGCCCCAGTTGTTATATTACCTTTATCTGCCCTAGTTGTTATATTACCTTTCTCTGCCCTGGTTGTTTTAAACCTAAGACCACTGAGTGACAGGTAGGCATGCTAGCCACTGTACTACTGCAGCCTTCCTCAGGTTCATTACTTTGCACAAATTATCTAAGGCTGTATCTTGGAATGCAGAAATCTTTGAGTCAGTTTACAAAATAAAAATAAAAGACCCTTGTCTCTGCTACAGCACATCATGTATAGATTGCTAGACTTTTTTTTTCCAGACACACCACCATGAAGAAAATGGGGGTGGTGGGGGGGGGGGGGGGGGGGGGGGTTTAGGGTGACCCCACCCCTGTAAATAATGTCAAGCCAAAAGGGGTGCTGAGCTGCAGGGTTCTAGCTCCTATGATACCAGTCAGCACTCCATGGGTGATATGACTGCCTTTACTTCCCACGACATTACCCCTTTACCTATTTTAGACTGGGTCGACCTTGGAGCCTAGGTCAATTGGGAAAACGATCTGTCTTAATACAAATTTTGAACCTAATAAAGAGTTGAGATTAATTCTAAGCTTCTGCACTATATTGGCCAACCCCAGCCGAGCCACATAGATCAAAACTGAGCAAGGGTTGAAAGTGCATTGAAAATAAAGTGCACTCAGAATTAAACTAAGGCAAACCCTTACCTGAGCAAAGCAATAAATGATGCCAACACTGGCCCCGATTCGACTTCCCAGGACGTGAGCGACCAGAAAGTAGACTCCTCCACTTTCAAACTTACACCTTTCACAGACTCCAATAGCGCTGAGTGCTACGATCAGAACCACGGAGATGGAGAAGAAGACGGTCAGCACTGACAGCCAAATTCCTGCATTCCCCTTGGGAAGTAGATCAAACATTTGTTGTACAATTTAAATCCATCTTCTTTTTCGTTCACACTTACTTCTTTCAGTCCTAGTCAACCTGCCATGAGTTATCAGGTATTTTCCAAGTGTACTCAAAGAGTAAAAAAGGATAGGTAGCACTTTGTTGTGTTACAGCTAGGCTGTGATATCTGCACCCTTTAACTCAATAGCTTCGCTTTCAGCGAATCTCTATTATTTCATTCATACCTCATCCAGAAAAATCAGTAGCCACAAAAGTCAAGAACATGAAATAGAATCAACCAGGCAAAATGGGAGGTGGCTTTTTCTCTTTAAGAAAATGAAGGAAAACTAAAAGACATCATTGTACATCAGTCACAAGTGAAGAAGTGAGCAGAGAATACCCAAACAGGCACTGAAATGGGAAACAAATAAACTGAGGAAATGAAAATGTTCAAGAGACACCCCCCCCCCCCCCCCCCCCCCCAAAAAAAAAAAAACCTTGTTGAGAGGGGCTTATGGTGCTGGTCTGGGTTCCATCCACGGTATGAAATGATTCCTTGGGGCAGAACAAAATGGAGGAACATACTGTGTGCGGTTAGTGACACATAATGGCATACAGGATGGTGATGATGATGATTAAAAAAAATAAAAACAGAGAGAAGAGAATGAGAGCTGGGATGAATAAGATAAAGAGGACATGGAGTGAGCTGCCCAAAAAAAAAATGACATGGCATGAGTGGATTGAGGGCTTATACTGCAATGAATGATGAAGGGCAGAAGAGAGAGAGAGAAGACATCAGTGGTGGGACAACTTACCACAATCCAGCCCATTCTTAGGAAGATGACCACACTGAGGATGTTGATCAGACAGGAGGTGAACACACCATCCCAGGTGCCAAACAGGACAGGCTGGGAGATGAAGAAGTTTGACTTCCACCAAGGCTGTTGGGATACCTGCATAGTCGGGTTAAATCTTTGTCAGCAGTGTAAAATACAGAATGAAGTGGTCATAAAATGTTATTGGATCCCTTGCAGAAGATTTGGTTTTATTTAGTTTGTAATTATTATCATCAGCAACAGCAGTATCATCATCATACTCCTCCTCATCATTATCATCATCAACAGCCTTGCCGACCTGTATGAGCCATCATGCCTCTCCACAACCTGTGATCTCCAACAGCATGTATCAGTTCATGTTTACATGCTGACATCTTAATCCACACCATAACAAAAAGCTGACAGGAATCTTCTTGTTCTGTCTTCCTCTGTTTCTCTTTCCACAAATTATTCCAGTGTTCACATGTTTCAATCTCCCTGTTCTCATAACATGACCAAAAAATGATGACTGTCTCTTTCTGATGTTTGTAATAAGTTGTTGTCGAACCCTTGTCTCTTTCGAAACACTTGGGTTACTCTTTTTGGCTGTCCAAAGAATTGTAAGCATCATTCTGTTAAAAAAAATATCTCTGAGGCCTCAAGTTTGTTTGTTTGTTTGATTTAGTATCCAGAAGCCATGAGTTGTTAACCCTTAGGCTCGGTATTATGGATATCGCAACCTTTTGGCCTTTGCTCCATTGTAAATACCGTAAATCTGGGAGAAATGTGGCTTTTCTGCCTACGCCCGGGATTGAACCCGGAATACAAGGAGTTCGTCACCGGGTCTCCGCGCAATCCGGTTTAGCCAACTACACTAGAGAGCCGGGCCTGAGGCCTCAAGAAATAGCATGGCTTTATTTTACCCCTTCTTAGTTTGTAAAGGATCACTTTTACCCTCTAGAGATAAAATCGAGAAGAATAATCAACTATTTCATGAAGGGAATAATAAATGCAAAATGTTAATGACACAAAGCTAGTAAGATTATCTAATTATTCATAGTATGGTTTCTATCAGAACCATTACCCAAATCAAAGTACCCAAATCAAAGTACCCAAATGAAAGCAGTGTGTGAAAAAACACAAATTATGTTTCGGTCATATAAATAATTCTGCGATATATAAATATAAAATAACAAATATATACTCTTAGAAATCGATTAATACTATAAATCCCATTTATAACCCTGAGGGTTGACCAGGATATTTTTTGAAAAATTACTACCACTTTTATTGCACATTGATATCTCCACAAGTGCTCATTTTCCTCCTACAGATTACATAAGGAAATCTCAGCCCAGTGCACGAGCTTCATAGCACAAAAAATGCATCTGTTTCTTTCAAACTGCTGACAGTACACATCTGTTAATATCACATGATAGCATCATCAAACATGGGGATGTCCCTTCACATTAGCCACCAACTATTGAGTCCACTTACATAGGCAAACAACAAATCCATATATCTAAAATAACAACAGAGGCTATATAAATCTCTGACTTACTCTCCCTTGAGGCACTGGCTTAGTGTCTACTGACAAAAACTACCTAAAACCCCAGGAGGTAACATGACCAATCTAGGCCTTTATCCCAGCCAGTGTGTACCTGCTGTGCTGAATTCTGACTTGCTTACATCTTAAAATGCTTCTCATTTGATTGGGTTCTGCACTCACCATCAGGGACTTCTATCTGAAGGTTTGATATGCAATGTCTCAATGAGCCACTCTAAAATGACATTCCAAGAGGATCAAGCCCTAGATTCCCTGTTCAGTAGTGTACTGTAATCTCTCTCTCTCTCCCACTCTCTCTCTCTCTCTCTCCCACTCTCTCTCTCCCACTCTCTCTCTCTCCCCCCTCTCTCTCTCTCCCACTCTCTCTCTCCCTCTATCTCTCTCTCTTCCCCTCCCTCTCTCTCTCTCTGTATCTATTACAGTAGCTTGTGGTCTGAATCCACACTGAGAATTTCTCAAAGAAAAATCAACACTGGCTTCCAGGTGGACCCATCTTGAAATGGGGACCCAGTAATTTCTTATTAATCTATAAAGAACATATGCCCATCATCACATACCTAATGCTATACTGGACACCTCCTGGGAACAAATAAACAGACAATCATCACACAGGCACTACAATTGAGAAACCGTGGACATTCAAAGAAACCCTAAAATGAACACTGATGAGAGAGGCCAAAGGTGCCAGACTGGATTCCATGCATGATTTTGAAGGGATTGCACGAGTTAGAGGGGTAAGGAGGAATAGACTGCAAGCCCTGTGTGGCATATAGTGGCACCACAGAACAAGGATAATGATGTTTATATACCTAATGTGTTAAAAAGAGAATTGTTGAAACGGCCCTGTGTGGCATATAGTGGCATCACGAAACAATGATAATGATGATTATATACCTAATGTGTAAAAAAGAAAGTTGAAACAGCCCTGTGTGGCATATAGTGGCACCACAGAACAAGGATAATGATGATTATATACCTAATGTGTAAAAAAGAGAGTTTTGAAACGGCCCTGTGTGGCATATAGTAGCACCACAGAACAAGGATAATGATGATTATATACCTAATGTGTAAAAAAGAGTTCTTTACTTTAAGTTATTTACTCACTAATCGGTGTCTGGAATTATGTAATTAAACGCTTGCCTACAGTATCAACAAAGTAGACTGACCTCCTGCTCCCGAAACAGTTCATTCTGCTGGGCTACATCACCAGCATGAAAACCTGCCTCTGCCGTGGCATCAGTGGAACTGTATGACTTGGGTTGTGAAGCTTCCTGCTGGTCCTTGCTGAGACCAAACCTACAGGAAGGAGATCATTGAAACTGTGATGGTGTGAGGGGAAGGAACATGAACTACATTTCAGCTTTCTAATATTAGTGTCATTACGGTTCCTACTTCTTGTGTGAGTTCCAGAGCCTCACTGTGGAAAACAAACAAAAACAACTCATGGTCTGGAACAAGACTAAAGTCTAGAAGTGTCTAGTGTGACTAGCGAGATCCCCCCAAACCATGCTAAGATATGTCTTCCAGACATGGAATATGTGATTTGTTGCTATCAAATGCATTTAGTCTGTTTCTTAGCAGACACTCAGCTCTCATCCTTTCTACAATAATTTCTTCCATGATTCTCATTCCCTTCCTGATTTTTCCCCTCCATTCAACATGGTCGATGGCCTTTTGTTTCCACAATGACTGCGTCGTTCATGTCCTGTTTACATATCTATTTATATTGTAGTAGAGGTCGGCCTCGACATCTTCTATCCATCTGTAATTCACCAATGAGGATGTTCCTAGCGACCCTACCATCCTCCATTCTCCGGGCGTGACCCAGCCACCTGAGTCTTCATAGACTCAGCATTGAGAAAACTGTTGTAATACCTGTTCTTTCCAATCCCTCCATGTTTGTGATCTTGTCTTGCCATTTAATGCCAAGTATCCACAATCATTTTCACCATTTATGACATGTTTGTAAAGGGTTTAATCTCTATTCCCCCCCCCACCCCCCCCCCCCCCCCCCCACTTCCTTAATGAATGAAACCCTGAACCCACAAGAGGGTTTGACCAACAAGTCTCTGTATTACTGATCCAACATTATTGTTCACCTGCTCCAGTCTGGCATCTTGGACTTTGCTTCTTTCTTGCCATTTCCAGAAACCAGTTCAGCATTGTCCCCTCTTTCATGATCAGCCATTGGAAGAGAGGACACGCACAGCTGTCAGAAGACGGAGGAGGAGGTTGGGAGGCAGGCTCAAGTCAAGGCTTCACACTTGGATCATTGCAACACTGTGGAGTTAAACCAGCAAGTTTCATTCAACATAAAAACAAGAAACACAAGAATCAAGTTGAGCTGAGTTGATTCAAGAACCAACATCACAGCACTCAAGGCATTCCCACAGGCATTCCCTCCCTATCTTCAGTAGCCAATACCAACAGTTGACCATTAGCAGTCTGATTATATGTCTGTCTTGCTTCTCCTCAGAGCATCCAGTATCGGCTAGATCCCCTCGACACTCCCAGCTACATCACTCTCACCAGACTATGATCTTCTTCTTCATGTTCACCGACTGTAAACTCCGGCAGTAAGTTCTAGTTGTTCATCCACCTCTGGACATCAGTCTTGTTACAGAACTTGAGTGCTGTGTGTACATCCGTTTTACAGATCTGACTTACTTGTATGCAGATTGTTGGTTCCTTGCCTCCTAGGTAGATGCACTCTGACTTCGAAGGAAACCAGACTATGATGATCAATCTGCTATTCCGAATAACACATGTGCTCCCATTAGGCCCTAACCACGTCTGCCTTATCATGCATGAATATTCTACAAAGTTGTGCAGAGCCAACCAGTCTGTCTGTCTGCCTGTTCATTTCCCAACACATCAGCACCCCCCCCTCCCCCTCCACCATCAAAAAATAAATCCAGACAATGCTCTTCATCCATGACCTCTGATGCAAAGCTTGCCACTCTGCATGAAGCATGCCTTTCCTCATCTTCCTCAGCATGATTTCCATGGATAGCATAACACTAACTATTGTTTTTAGAACAATATCGTTTTTTTTTTCTATGAAATATGCAGTACCTAATTGTATTCATACAACAGTTCAAAGCCACCACAATAAACAGAGAAACATCTAGAAATTAGAACAAGACAAAGAATTTCAACAGCGTGAACAAGTTTAGAAACATCCCCAGAGGGAGCCACGGCGCCGTGGGGATTAGCTCCCTCTGGAACACTGCAGCATATTCTGGAAATTCCAAAGCTGCCGGTTGAGATCCAGGGGGAGATAATCCCCACGGCCGTGGGGGGGGGGGGGGGGGGGGGTGTCTGGATAGGACAGTTGGCACAGACTATTTCATACATATCATGGCCACCTATATGACCAGCAGACCTGTAGCATGAAACAAGGACACTTTTTCAGGCCTTCTGGCATACAGGGCTATATATTTAACACCCCAATCTGCACTAGGTGGCCGCCTTTACTTCCCAGGATTTCACCATATACTCCATAAAGGTTGACTGGGAGCCAATGTTATTTTTGGAAAAAGTCCGTGCGGATTCAAAGCCACGACCTCTGTATCCGCAGGCGAGAGTCTAGCCGCTGTAACACGGTGGCTTCCATAGCAAGATTGGCAACAGGCGTATTATTCTGCAATAACATGTGGCTTAGTTATTGGCTAAATTGTCGGGCTAATTCTACCGTTTCCTGAGGTATTTCTTGTGATATATTTGGGCGTCAAAAGATAAAGGTGTGGGGAAAGGGGGGGGGGGGAAACAGAAACATCAATCAACATCGTCAAATACACCAGCCAACATCGCTACACGGACCCCACAATAATAATTGGACTGAAAAGTTTTCAGACGGTGAGCGGAAAATAATACGAGTAACTGAGAAGTGAAACGGAAAACTGAAACATTTTGGCCGTATCAAACGCCACGGTGGGTTGGAAAGAACAGTAGCTGAAATAAAGTGCCATGGAAGTGGGACAGAAGCCGACCAGCATACAGGACCCTTTTTCGCGCCCTCAGGCGTACTGGTTACATAGAGTTAGTTGCGTATCCTTTACAGGACGTTGCAGAACCAACCCTAACAGGATGTTGTGTGGTTTCTCTTGGCAAAGTTTACGTCCAGTAGTTTGCCATTGCTTTCTTGATACCACTGTCGAAACCAACGCAAGGCGTATTGCCCGCAACTGGGATCGAACCCGGCATCCCAGCATTACGAAGCGAAGCGTTCGCATCGACTTAGCCACAGCGCCGACGATCACATAGAGCTAGACCTATATTTTATAGACCAATTTTGCCCGGCTCTCTAGCGTAGTTGGCTAAACCGGATTGCGCGGAGACCGGGTGACAAACTCCTTGTGGTCCGGGTTCAATCCCGTGGGTAGGCAGGAAAGCCACATTGTCTCCCAGATTTATGGTATTTACAATGGAATCAAGGCCGAAAGGTTGCGATATCCATAATACCGAGCCTAAGGGTTAAACAACTCATGGCTTCTAGATACTAAAACAAACAAACAAACACGCAAACAATAGACCAATGTTCACACCACCACCAGTAGGCGGCTGGTGGCTAACATCATGCCGCCCGCCTTAACTTCCCAGGATTATATCAGGTAAACATTCAATGCTGAGTCGACCTGGGGGCCAAAGTAATTTTTTCTAAAGGTCCCGAACCCAGGACCTTCCGATCCGCAAGCGAGCGTCTAGCCGCTACACCACGACGGCTCCCAGCACATGTAGGAAAGCACATGAGGCGGAAGATGTGGCGAGAGATCAAGTTTCTTTTATGCGGGCTGTGATAAGCGAGACATTCTGTACAATATACAAGGCTGCTACTTGATGACACGTTATGGAAATATAATGAATTAATCAAGTAACAGAAAGTGTATTGATTGGCACTCATAGAAAGAAGTAGAAAGATAGAAGAACACATTAGACAACATAAAAATCGAAAGCTATAGTTCCCGTGCCGGGAATTGAACCTGTCACCTCCAGACGGCGTTTGCGCCTCGCCATGAATACAAGTGCAAAGAACATGGTCAACTAGGCACCACCCCCAAAAAAGGTGTCTTATTGGCCATGTCTATCGTACAGTTTGAAATCCACAACTATGGAATACGGAAAGAATTTATTTCAACCCATTGAAATGGCACCATAGGTTACAGAAATTTATATTAACGAAGCATATGTCGAATAACAATCACAGCAACAATTTACGAACACAGTAGACCTTATTGCTTTGTCTAGAATACACAAACATTTAAGAAAGGTATTTGATTGGTAGGTTCCGGTGTGTATACTGGAAATATATCAGAGAATAACAAGGGTATACATTTAGGATTTCACAAACATACCCACATGCTTTAGCAAAGTACTGTCTTTGTAAAACAAATGACAAAAAAGCAATGCTCAAACAATAAAAACGACAAAATCGCATAAAGCAAACAGGTGAGTGTACGAGATGATGCAAATCGTGCTGACTGCTGCAAAATTGTGGAAATGGCTACAAGGGAAATAGCCCAGGTGTTAATCCTGCAAGGATTTTACACACACAGATACACGAACGCGCGCGCGCGCACACACACATAGTACTTGACGAAATCAATAAGTGATGTTTGATTTGCACAGATGTGAGTGCTTTGCCACTACAAGCTCAATAAACAGTTGCTTTATTTAGATGGTCTAGTTTGTTAGAATTGTTATGCAAAGTTGAAACAAATTCTCCTTTTCCTAATGTTAACATGGATTGTTTCGCATTTAAAGCTGGGGTAGTAGCAGCAACGGATTTCATTACAAATTTAACATATGAAATGGTTCGGCCATTCAACTAAACTTCCACCAGACACTATACTCCAAATGAGCAATGATTTACAGACCAAACATGAATGGAAGAAATGCCGATCACCCAAACGATGGGCAGATGAAACATCAATATATGGGAACTCATGCTAAGTACTTTACCAGTTTCTATGTCAGTCCTGCATATATATGGGAACTCATGTTAAGTACTTTACCAGTTTCTATGTCAGTCCTGCATATATATGGGAACTCATGCTAAGTACTTTACCAGTTTCTATGTCAGTCCTGCATATATATGGGAACTCATGCTAAGTACTTTACCAGTTTCTATGTCAGTCCTGCATATATATGGGAACATGCTAAGTACTTTACCAGTTTCTATGCCAGTCCTGCATATATATGGGAACTCATGCTAAGTACTTTACCAGTTTCTATGCCAGTCCTGCATATATATGGGAACTCATGCTAAGTACTTTACCAGTTTCTATGCCAGTCCTGCATATATATGGGAACTCATGCTAGGCACTTTACCAATTTCTATGCCAATCCTGCATATATATGGGAACTCATGCTAGGTACTTTACCAGTTTCTATGCCAGTCCTGCATATATATGGGAACTCATGCTAGGTACTTTACCAGTTTCTATGCCAGTCCTGCATATATATGGGAACTCATGCTAGGTACTTTACCAGTTTCTATGCCAGTCCTGCATATACATGGGAACTCATGCTAGGTACTTTACCAGTTTCTATGCCAGTCCTGCATATACATGGGAACTCATGCTAGGTACTTTACCAGTTTCTATGCCAGTCCTGCATATATATGGGAACTCATGCTAGGTACTTTACCAGTTTCTATGCCAGTCCTGCATATATATGGGAACTCGTGCTAGGTACTTTACCAGTTTCTATGCCAGTCCTGCATATATATGGGAACTCATGCTAGGTACTTTACCAGTTTCTATGCCAGTCCTGCATATATATGGGAACTCATGCTAAGTACTTTACCAGTTTCTATGCCAGTCCTGCATATATATGGGAACTCATGCTAGGTACTTTACCAGTTTCTATGCCAGTCCTGCATATATATGGGAACTCATGCTAGGTACTTTACCAGTTTCTATGCCTGTCCTGCATATATATGGGAACTCATGCTAGGTACTTTACCAGTTTCTATGCCAGTCCTGCATATATATGGGAACTCATGCTAAGTACTTTACCAGTTTCTATGCCAGTCCTGCATATATATGGGAACTCATGCTAGGTACTTTACCAGTTTCTATGCCAATCCTGCATATATATGGGAACTCATGCTAGGTAATTTACCAGTTTCTATGCCAGTCCTGCATATATATGGGAACTCATGCTAGGTACTTTACCAGTTTCTAT